AAAAAAAAACCCGAGGTAATCAAGACTGACTGCGTAACTTACTTTTATCGGCCATGACATAGTCATCATTATTCAGACGTATCCAATGCCCTTCTACTTCTCCATGTTCTTCCGCTTCAAGACGTTCCTTCTCCGCTTTTTCAGCAGCTCCTTGAAAATAGAGGAGAGATAGCTCACGGATAACTGAATATAAAGGAAACTTACGAGATTTACGATGTTCAATCGTTTTCCTGAAAAAAGCTACCATCTCCTCAGACATTTCTTCGACTTCGACAGACACTGAAATATTTCTATTTAAATTGATGAGAGACTGTGGTAACACCTTTTAAAACATGCGAATGAAATACAAGAGGTAGGACGAAGACCGAAGTAAAGAATATACCTGATGGTCTATCGACATTCTTTTCTACATCATCACTCCGTGGATCAGATGCGACATCATCCTTCACTTTTATGGGCATGCCCTTCATCGGACTGCTTTTTGAGCCTTGCCGCGACCCTTAATCAGTCGAATCATATCTAACCCCCATGTTGGCATTTTTTGTAGTAAAGGCGAAAGAGGAGGCAAAGGAAAAAGAAGCAAGAAAAATGAGCTTTTTCGGTCATAGTAGTTTTTAAATACTATCATGCACTACGTTAGATCATTTGCTCATAGTTCTAGGATTGATTGTTCTAGCAACACTCCCACCCCTATGTTTCAATGGATGAATCACACTCAGTAATTATGGATGGAAAAAGCCTAAGAGCTGATGCGAACCATCTAATGGAGATGTTCTAAATATAAACTCGTGACTTGTTGCATAAAACTATAAGGAAAGCATTTCCAAGCATAATAGCGGTTGATCGGCAAATATAGGTGATGTGTTATCTCTAGTGTATGAAAAACGTAAACAAAGCCTACTATACAAATTGAAGAGTATAAACAAAGAAAAACATATGTCGTGACTTGTGTGCATAAAATTAATAGGGACATGTCCAAGGAACATGTAAATACCTTGCTTTTTCTTCTGATAAGGTTTTGCCTTTCCACGAACCATTCGACATGCCACCTCAGCCATATGTGCATGGTCACTTCGCCATTTCTCCACAGCCATGTAGTGGGCCCAAAAAGAAGAATAGCGCTCATCTCTAGCCCATTCTTGATTGTGATAGATTTCCATAGATTGTCACGCTACCTAATTCCCTGCCAAGGGCAAACAGCCTGGAAAAGAACGTAAATAAGATAGCTTCAGCAAATGCAACAGACCCTGTATTTTCGATGGATCAGTTTAGAAACAAAGTAAAAAAGAATTGTATAAATAAAATTCAATATGTCAACATAACCCTTGTAACTTGCAGAAAGCGTCTAAATAAGCAACGATGACAAAATGCATTGTAATGAACTATAGGAAAAGAAAATAGATAAGAAGTT